TTTTTTTTTCAAATTACCTACTGCAGCTTTAATTTGTTTTCAGTAAACACTATGAAGAACACATACTTATAATCACATAAATCATCAATCCAAGAAAAATAGAACATTGTGCTTAGTTTTCTTTACTTTACTTTCTATTCGTTGTATATCTGGAGTGAGAGGGGTTAAATCTCGTGTGCAGTCCAGCTGGAAACTCGTAAAAAGTGTCATTTGAAGAGGACAAAGAAATCCCGCGGCAGGCTATAAGACCTCCTGCCTTCATTCATCTCGCTGCACAGCGGCAGTAGTCTTCCTCACGCCTCCTCCTCCGCCGGCTCCGCAAACACTGTTACTGGATCGGGATGCGGGCTCTCGTGTTTTGCTGCAGCATCTTGTCTTTGCACCTTTTCCTCTGCGTTCATTCTCTGCCGGTTCGCGACCGGAGGACCGCCAGCAGGTACAAGCAGCTACAGGTGAGTCCGAGCCGGGATCCCAAGCGCTGCTGCAGAGGAACACTGCATGCATGGGGGAACACAGTGTGAGCAGTTGGGGACGAAAGAGCAAGCTGTGTGTGAGAGTGATACGAAAGATTTACATGTGAGTGAATATATTAAAACTCATACAAGCTTAAGCAGATAAAAAACAAGTAAATTTCTGCTTATATTACATGATATTTTAAAGGGAGCTGCAAACTGCTAAGTCACTTTCATACACGGCTGCATGCCAACTTTTAAATGCTTTTGTTCTTCAACATTAGCATGTTGTTTCTGGCTGCTGAATGATATGAAATATGTGAAGTTGCTCACTAAAGAGATTGCGATGGTTGACTTAAGGTCAGATTCAAAGCTAACAAAATACCGGTAATACTTAATAAGGGTACAAATCATAAGTTAAGCACACTCCAAAAAGTAGTTCAGTATACCTATTGTCACCACTTAAATAAATGCATGGTTACAAGATAAAACTTCTAATGTATTGTTTTAGATAAACCCTTTAAGTGACATGATTTTGATGAGTTGTGTAAATATTTGTATCTGTGTTGTGTTGGAACAAGTTAATTTCAAAGAGTAGCCTAACCAACTTAAAAACTTGTTTATGCTACATATTACTAACTTAGGGGTAATTAAAAATACCTTTGATTCTAGAGAAAAATGTATTTCCTCTAACTCAGTGTAGTACATTTGTTGAAGTTTTGTAGAAGTCACCATTACTCAAAAGACTTGTGGAAACTGTACATTGTTTTGTTCTGCCAAAACATTTGTTTTTAGAGAAGTCAGGGTTTCCCAACCTTTTAAGTGAAGAACCCCTACAATCACTGTTGGGCAGTAACTCATTACTAGTAATAATATTACAGTAAGAATAATAATTTCCCCACTATAGTAGTGTAACTAATTACTAATACATTTCAGTAATAATATTACAGTTACGCCACCCAAAAATAATTAGTTACAACTTTACTTTTGTTGGCCCCCTTTTTTTTGTGGGGAGTAGCAGAAAAGTAAAATAACTAGTAGTGTAACTAATTACTGTTGGCAGGGAGTAATAAGTAAGTAATAATATTAGTTTTGAAAAGAGTAAGGAGAAATAAATTTTAAAAAATTGTGTAACTAGCCCAACACTGCCTACAGTAGACGCACACCCCTAATTTGAGAAGATTAAGTCTTAGGGAATCTCCTGTGAGTAGTTTTGAAGATAATAAAGTTTTCATAGTCAATAAATGATCAAACTCGGATCACTACTTTTTCCAATGAATCAAAACAGTCAACCCTGGTTATTTCCTTGTTGTTCCAACTTCCAAAAAAATGTGATAAAAGTTCAAATATTCTATTCCTCCTTTTGCTGTGGACCCCCTATAACTCAAGGACCTGTGTTGGTCCCAGGACCCCAGTTTAAAAACCACTCACTTAAGTAATACTTAGCTAATGCATGACTCATGATGATTGAATGCAGGAATTAATGCAGGGTGTATCATGAATTCCTGTTGCTCACGACTAACAAATGATCAACTCACCATGAGAGAGAGGTCATCAGTTAAAGGTCCAGTGTGTAGGATTTAGTGACATCTAGCAGTGGAGTTGCATCTTGCACCCTCCACTTCCAAGCGTGAAAGGGGAAACTACGGTGAAAGGTAACTCTATCGGTCCGTGTATGTGTTCGTCATTCGATTTTCCTTTCAGAAA